CGATTAGGTTTTCCATTTTCTTGACTTGTAAGCGTACCTTGTCGTGAAAGTCTTGCTGTGATAGTCCATTCACTCTGCCGATGGCATGCGTGACAGCGACGGTGTTCCATTTGGCGAGGTCAAGACCTGCTTGCGGGGGGTAGACGATCTTAAAGTCATCGAGTGGCAAAGGTGGCATCTTAGGGCCTGCGTTGTTGCTGCGCTGGTGATGACTTTAGTGTCTGCTCATTGATAGGTGGCTGCTCTGTGGGTTGGTTGGCCGGTGTCCTTGGATTGGCGACAACCTTCTTGTCTTTCTTATTTCTCGTGATCCAAGCGCTTTCCGTTGCAATTGTTCTGCCACTGCCAGCGTCATAGGTCCACAAATTTTCTGTTGTTTTGTTTGCCACCACTGGGTCAGTTTGCATGGTATTTTTTTCGTCTTGCTGGTTTCTTTGCATTTCGCTTGCTGCGGCTGCGTCTCGGCTCATTCTAAGCTTTTCGCCACGGTGAGCGCGAGCGCTCGTGCCATGCCATCAGGAACGCCTGAGTGCGTTTTGCACGCGCCGCGCGGCTTTGCTCGGGAACGAACTTGGCGTTAGGCTTAATAAACTGGATGCGCGCTTGTCAGGAATGAAGTCTTATATCTGGAGACAGGATGCACTCACCCAAAAGAAGCTAGTGTCTGCCGATTCCTCGTGTCTTGGTGGCTGAGACTGTGAAACTCTTAGGTTTGTCACTGGCCTTGTTTCGGGTAAAAAAGCACAAAAAGCAGGAGCCCATGCGAGGCCTTCGTGTGTGAAGAAAGTGTCCGAATTTCAAGTAGTGTAAATACTTCAGTACAGAAGGAACCAGAGGCGAAAGCCTTGACCGCTGACCTTGAGTCGGTGAAGATTTGCGATCTACTGTCATCCAAAAGTGCAAGGGCTACAACCAATTGTTCGGCTCTTGAGGGAGTAGAGTCCCTAACTGCCGCAGCATCGATAATAGAGCCCATATGATTGACGGAAATAACAAAAAACTTAGGCTGAGGGACCATACTGAGCGGCATCGACAAAACAAACTGAATGAGGATTGTTCCTGATGTTCTTCAGAAGTGTGATGGCCCTAGCCCAGCGCCTTCGAATCGTTGTGCTGAGGATGGACGTTTCACAAAAATGGAGAGACCTGGATGGCAGTACGCTGTTCATCTGGTAGTTGAAGACTGGTGCTCCTCTACTAGCGCCGCACCGAGGCCTAGGATGGACAGAATCTTCCTACCAGCCGGCGTAGACGACAGGCGCATTAGCTGTGCAGTCTCTTGGGCTTCAATGATCTCATCTAGGGTGTTATGAACTCCTAGCTGCAAATGCCGTTCAGTGCTTGTTCGCACGAGGATGTCCAACATCTTCTTTACGCGTTTTCTGATCAGAATTTTCAGCTTATTTTTTTCGAATCCATACCAAGAGTGCATGGCAGCAACTGTATGTTATGTGGATCATGAGGAATGCATCAAAGAGCCTCAGTAGATTGTCTTCCCTGAGTCCCCCCTTCTGTTCGAAACCCAATTAATCAATCTGATCATGTTCTCGGTCTTGGTTGAAATCTTAGCGATGGTTTTTTTCTGTTGTATCCGTGCGACTCTATAATCATGCCCAGCACTCTAATAGCGTCGGAATGGGGGCGCCACTTCTGGTGTGAAGTACAATGTCTACCTCTGATAAAGGCTTCCGGTTTTTTGGCCTGGCTTCTTTTTTACTGGGCCTGTATAGAAGCAGCTCCGATTTGCTCGAGGAGCTCCTCAGCCCTGTGCCAGCAAGGAAGAGCTCTGTCTGATTGATGGCTTCTTGGAGTGCAGTCTCGACTTCTCCTTCTCTATTTCCGGGACACCAGATGGTAATATAATCAGCGTAAAGCGTATGATTGATGCCCTTCACGTTAGATAGCAGTGTAGACAACTTGCATATAGCGACGTTAAAGAGAAGTGGAGATATCACAGCTCCTTGCGGCATGCCTTCAGGGCCCAGTGCTACAGGAAAGGACTTGAGGTCTCCGATAGTGAGCGTGGCCTTCCTGGATTCTAGAAAGGAGGTGACGTATCTGTGGAAGGCTTCGCCTAGTCCAAGGTCTGCAATGAAGTTTAAGATGTGCGCGTGAGAGATGTTAAACGTTTTTTCCAAGTAAAGACACAGGATGCCTCTTACATCCCTTGTGTTCACGTCTATGATTTGATGTTTGAGCAGCTTCATTGTGTCCTGTGCTGACAAAGACGTACGAAACCCAACCAAGTTGTGAGCAAAAAGATCTTCCTTTTCGATGTATTTAGAGACATGGTTGTAAATGACGTGCTCCGCCACCTTGCCGACACAGGACGTTAGCGATATGGGCCTTAGATTGCCTAATCTGGAGGTCACCCCGGCTTGAGAATGAAGACAACCGATGCCACTTTCCAAGAGTCTGGGACAGAACCTTCTCTCATATGCGATTTATCTCATCGGTAAGGAAATTGATGGATTCGTCTTCCGGGTTCCTGAGGGCTTCGTTCGAGATGCCATCCAGCCCCGGAGCCGATCGTCCATTAAGGTTTTTAAGAACTTCCCAAGCGTCGCTGGTAGTAAAGGGCTCTCCGAACTCATTGCAAGGGGGTCCTATAAGACAGATAGTCTGAACAGCTCGAGGATCCGAAGGGTAAATATCTGTGAGCCAAACCATCTAGTAAAGCGTCTTCAGAATCAGACTGTCTTGCGGCGTGTATCAGTTTAGCAATGGCTTGCCTTTGATTAGTCTTGGAATTCGACTTGTGCAAAAGGTGCTTAAGCAAATTTCACTTCCCTCCTCTTCTCATTTGGCCATCAACAGAATTGCACACCTCATCCCACTGCTGCCTAGAGAGGGTCTGGCAGAGGTCCTCGATGGTTTGGTTAAGTTTTGACATTTTCTTGCGGAGCTGACGATTGAGCCTCTGCCCCTTTCACCTATTCAGTAACGATTTCTTGGCCTCTCGGAGGTGCGCAAGGCGGCTGTCCATCCTATCAGTTTCCAAATCTGTGTGTATCTTTTAATCGCCTCACCAACGTCTCCCTTGAGCTGTTTGACTCATTGATCCAGGCTGGGGGTGGAGTCTTCAGCTTGCGCGCGTTCTTTCTAATATGCTGAAATCCCAATCTGTGAAACTAAACTCTCTTACGGGTTTGCCCTTTACACTGATATGGGTAGCTAAGACATTATGGTCTCTACCCAGATCCACGTGCAAGTTGTGCCAAGTAGCAGATTCAATATTTTTAATAAAGGTAAGGTCCGGCGTGGTGTCCCCCGTGCAGGAGGTACCCATCCTAGTCGAAAATGCTGGGTCCGTGGCCAGGGTGAGGTTCAAGTTATTCCATAATGGCGAGGATTTGTGGCAAGCAGCGGCAAACTTGAACCTCATGCTGGCACGGACGCCGACAATCTGCTACCGGCCTCAGAGCACGCAGACTTATCTCCGGTGCCTTCCAACTTGGTCGAGATTCCTGTCCTTGGTGAGGCTACTGGCCAATAGAACCAGGATGTTTCGGCAACGTCGTCATCTATGTCGAGCTAAGAAGAAGAAGAACTGTCATCGACTACGTCCAATAATGCAGTAATCGTCCGTATGAGACTATATGTTCTCTTGGCCAATCCTCCAGAGAGGGTATGAGCCATGGATTAGAGGCTACAAACAAACAAAGACTTTGGAGTGTTCTTGCAGATTGGGGACTCCTGAGAGCTCCTATCGGATGCAATTGGGCGGTTATAGTTCTAAATACACCACCATAGTTCAGAATCTTGCAACCGAAGGCATATCAGCTCGGCGGTCGTATCAGATCGTGATGCCCAGACTCCGCCCCTCCGCTGCCGACACCAGTGCACGTTGTCGATTCTGCGACGCCTTGCAAAGCGGCTGAGAAGCCCCTGCTTGGCTTTATAACTGCACAAAAGAACCAGGATTCATCTGTAGCATCATTACCATCGTTGAGTGAGGCAGAATCATCGTCAACCTGGCAGCCTTCACGCCTTTGGGATAAACTTGCGAACCAAGCACACATGAAGGACTACCTGAACTCCAAGTAGACAGACAGCACATCTAAAGCTGCTACTGAAGCTTCAGACGCAACCAGCTCATGAACATCACTCTCTAGAAATTTGTGAAAAGTCAGGAAACCCCACGAGTGTACGAAAGCAGGCCAAAATTCAACTCTTCGTACTCCAAGCGTCGCAAAAAGTACAAAAGTCCCCAGTATGACCTGAGGATGGCTAACAACATCACCATGGTATCCTCTGGACCTCACAGTCCGATTGCACGAATTTCCTCGCAAGACATATTGCCACCTCTCCAACCTTCATCACGATTTCCAAAGTCCTTAATTGCCGTATAACACCGCCTGGTAGGTTCTTTTAAAGCGCAGGCAATTTAGCCGGCTGCGGCAGTGTGTTGCAAAGAAAGAAGGAAGAGGCGCGGGCACGAGCTAAAGCCACGGCCGCTGGCTCGCGCAGTAGTTCCGTTGGCCATGGAGGTAGCCAGAAGCTTGGGTCGGGGTCTATTCTAGGTTTCTCTAAGTGTGCTTGTGCATGTCTGTGATTACTCTCTTCTATTCAGCATTGAGCATCGAGATGGTATATTATTGTTTTTGAAGGAAGTAATGCAATGGGCATGGAACAAGATTGGGCTATGCCGCTATGTGTATGCCTTTGTGAGAAAAAAAGACAGCAACAAAGGAAATTAGACGATGAGCTTGTGTTTCTGGTGATCAGTTCAACTCGACGCCCAGTGCTCAGGTGGACGGAGATTGTGTTTTATTCGTAGTCACGTGGCAAAATATACCAGTAGAATATGTTTATTTCAATCTAAACATCACCCGCTGCGTAATTATTATTGAGGGTCTTGCCGTATGATATTTTGTTGAACTTCGGATTCACATGGGGGATATCTAGGCATTGATTAGTAGAATAGCCTCAAAGTTATGGTGGTGTGGGCGGAAAAATTTCGCGAGCTTTCCAAATTTCCCTTATGCCTCTTTCGCTAGAACGTCTACGTCGAGCATACGGGTCCGGCTTGGAGAGCACAGTATACGAGACACCTCGGAGCGCCTGCCGCACGAGGATTACACCATTCGGCGAAAGATCGTGAACGAGGGCTTCAATCGGCTTACCTTCAGGAATGACATTGCACTCCTGGAGCTCTCACACCCCGTCATCTTCCGCGAGCACATCCTCCCAGTATGTCTTCCCAACAAGGGAGACAACTTCGCAGGAGGACTTGCCACCGTCGCCGGCTGGGGAAGGCTGAAGTACTGTAAGTGCCTATTTCATGCATTACTGGCAGAATGCTTTGTAAGAATCATGAACGTGTCAAAGCCCCTCGGGTTAGATGAGCTTGTGGTCATGCCCTGCCGTAGACAGTACACAGACGCATTACACTGGGACCGGCTTGCTTACTCTGGTCTACTTCAATGAGTCTCCTGATAAGTTGAATAAGACTGTTTTGTAGTGAATATTTAGGACCTTGATGAGTCGTCAAAAGCCCTTGGGTTAGGTGAGCTTGAAGTGATTCCCTGCCATAGACAGTTTACAGGCGTAATACACTGGGACCTGCTTATTTACTCTGGTCTACCTCAATGAGTCCCCTAATAAGTTAAATAAGACTGTTTTGCAGCGGACATGTATGACCTTGATGAGTTGTCAGAAGGCTTACTTTGAACACTCCGCCATGTGGCCTTGAATGGTTAGACTCATGCCAGTGGTGATGCACTGGGTGCTGTTGTATTAATAATACATCAGTATGCTAGGACACTATGTATCCCTACATAAATAATTTACACGCCACGGAACCCGAAGCTATGCTTCGCTGGCGTCGATCAAAGGACCTAAGGACACGCAGCAGTGCGTTCAAGTTGACCTCGCTGACGACTGTACACAACACGTATACTGACAACTAATTGGACCTTCTATTTTTTATGTTCCAATATTCTATTTCATAAATATTTTATTGTTAACGGTTACCGCCTTTCCGAGTTTTGATTTTTTATTGATGATTAATAAATTATGAGCCGATGCTGAACTATCGGGTGAGTTAAGCGATATCATGTGGCTAGAAGCATGCGCCATGCTAAACAGCATTACACCTTATGTGCAGCAATATTGTCTAAGCTATTTCTTGAAATCACACATAGGGACTTGCACTACGTAGACGAGTGTGCTGTCGATATTTAAGTGGTTTCGACCCAGTAAACACCCTAGGCACAATTTTCAAAAGAGCTTAATGTCCACGACATTTTTTTCACCGATGAATCAAGTGTCCGCATAGTTATTGTATGTCACTTTAAAATATACTTGCCGAGGGTCTTGGACCAATACGCAACAGATAAGCCAACCCTCTTCATCCAGCTCCTCCTTTTCAAGCGTCCAGCTACTCCCCGAGCGTCCTGCAAACAGTGGATGTGATGGTGATCGAGAATGAGGAGTGCCGGAAGTGGTACAGGGAAACAGGACGCAGTGAAAGGATCTACGACACGATGCTGTGTGCTGGATACAAGATGGGTGGCAAAGATTCCTGTCAGGTAAGAGCGTGTACATCGATGGCTAGACTCAGGTCACACTTTATTGGCCTGCAATTGTCGCAAAGTCCACAAACTGAACTACACTTATGCATGATACGGCAAAAGTTCAGACACTTCGGCGGCGGTTGACTCAAAGACTGAATAAACCAACTCGTGGTCGAACATTCGTAGTGCAGATATAACGCGACTGTACGATGTGAACATGGCACCACAAGAATTTTGGCAAGTAATTCTTTCAGTAACAAAATTATGCGTGGAAGAAAGCCGCCTTCAGCTGGTTTCGGCCTCCCGCTCGGCGTTTTCACTCTTTTTGGAAGCGAAAAGCGTAGGCGTAGCGCTTCCTCTTGAGTACGCCCACTTTGGCAGCATAGCATAAGGTGAGCGATTACATCATCGGTGGGCAGGCAAAAAGCCTGAGCAAGGCTTTTTATATGTATCGCTCAAGTGAGTGTGCTTGATCAGACCTGTTACTAGGGGCTGGCTCGGTTAAGAAATGTGCTATTGCGCATGCTCCTTTGCCTTAGTGCTAAACTAGCTACGCACGTGTTGATGTCGGGTGCTTTTGTTTTCGTGATACAGCTTGTCCTGGCTATCTGAGATTCACTCCCAGCGCTCGTATTTCGAGCAATCTGAAATTCACGCAGAGGGCAGTTCAGAAAAACGACTATGTAGACTACGCGATTAAAACCGCATGACCGCAGGTCAAAGGCATCATTTAGTAGTACCAAAAATCAATCGAAGAAATCTATGCTAGGTATTGTTGCGGAAGGGCTACGTCATGGCTTGGACGAACTGAACTGGTCAAGCGCTATAGAATAGCTCGGGAGAAATTTTTCGAAATGAATGTACTGCGTCAAGTGCGAGGCTGTAATATTTGCAAAATGTTTTATGCGAGGCCTTCTGAACGTATTAGCGAGCTTGTTTGGGATCTGTCAGAAAAAAAGAAGAAAAACGAAAAAGGTCAGCCTGTTTGTTGGCTTTTTAAAGGCAGATTAGGGAGTTTTGTTGTGGTCTTTATGCACAGTATAAATCATTTACGCTGCTCTCCAAGAAAAATGACAGTTTTCTTGGTGTTCTGCAGTTTATTGTACGAAGCATAAGCTCTTTAACAATGTTGTCCATTAAGTAGCTATTTTCATCAGATAATTTGAAGCGTACTGTCAATGTATTGGAAACAAAGCAGCGCAAAAGACGAGCCAAAAGAAAAAAGGGGACACAGACAACCGAGCTTTTGTTTACTCTTTCTTGTGCTCCATCTTCCGCGCTGTCTTGTTTCGATTATGTCGTAACAAAACGCCCAAGGATCAGTTCAGCTGCCAACAAGGCTGCAAAGCTGGGCAGTATCGAAGATACTGAATCTCGAATACTATTTCAGATATTTTGGGTATCTTCTATCTATGTTGCGATACGCTTCGTAAGACGGGTATCTGAATGTATTTTTGTGACATTCGATTATGTATCTTGCATCTTAAATACAGGCTACTGCGACCACAACGCATCCGTACAAAACATTACTCGCTGACTGAACTCAGCTTATCTGGCTGGTAATGGTGCCACTTAGTTACCTGATAAAATTGAAGGCCGGTGACATAATCTTGTCTTTACACCCTACTCGACCAGTGAGGGCAGTCGATGAGGTGTGTGCGTCCCCTTTGGCGCAGCAAAGCAACATGACACAGCTCGCGCAGTCTCGGCGGAAAGTACCTTCGCATATTTGCCCACGTGGTTTTTGTTTTCTTCATTTTTAATGTAGTTTTTTTCTCAGAGCTCTAGCGCTTCCACCTAGCGACTTGATAGCGGAGTGTACCACAACGCGTGCGGCGTTCTCCACACCAATTCTGATGTGACTCTCCTGTATAGAACCACCGGTACCAATATTATTTGTAGTAAAACAAGCGTTAACCTACCAGACGTTATCTTGGCGTACCACGTCGCTTTCTCCGAATTTTATTTCACTATTTCTAACCAAAGATCTCTTCAAAATATGATATGACAGTTAGCACAAGCGCTTTCTCAGTTGCCCCTTCTCTTGCATCTCATACATTACCTGGAGTGCTGAACTATGTTTTTTTTTATTTGGTAAATGCAATTTTTGTTTTATAAATTGAATTCACTCTCTATTTTATATTCACTATACCTAACTCTTCCACTAAGGCGATACAGAAAACAGTTATGTCGTGGTGTGGTCGTCCATTCAGTACACAGCACGAAAAATTCTGCTTGCTGCTTGGCGAAATGGGAAAACAGGATGTGCAATATAACAATGACAATGATCAAAAGCCACCTTGAACGTGTATTAACACGAAATTTCGCGGCCGATATAGCTTTCAGGGTCATTCCTGTGAACTTGAATATACCTTCGGCAAAATATCAGCTGCGAACAAAGCATGGAAGGTATTTTGAAGTAATGTTAAAGTTTGAGTTAGCGCTCGACTCCATCGTGTCATTGACACTCTTGAAGGGGACCTTTTGGTGACCCCCGAATTCCCAAACGTCACCACGCTGCAGTCAATAAAACAAGTATGATGACGTGTTGGCCGCCATTCTTCTGCGGCGTTTTTTCCCGTATAGCTGGGTGGCTGGTCACAAGTGCGTGGCCATGGCGCACGCTTTGAAAGTTTTGTCTTTAGCAACATTGCAGTTCGGTTTCTTATTCGAAAGCAATTTTTAATTCGGACCGCACGGAAGCGTGTCACAGTTCTGTGCCCTCATGTTCTCCAGATATGCACACATTAGGTGGCGATAGTTGCACCCGGCGGGTTCATCATTTTGGAGCTCTCTCAAATTGAAACTGAGAGCGGTAGATAATTAGGGGCCTGTAATTAGTTATCTGTCGCGCACTGAAGCGAACAATATGTCGTGTTAAGACTGACAGGCCCCCAGCTATACATTGCAGCAGGAAAATGCGAGGCCAACGTTGTGTAGCAGTACCCCTTTAGAGATGATCAGAAGGTGATTCATGAATCATTGTTATAACAAATGATTCCATTTTACTATTTTCTTATGAAAGTCCAACAAACCCTTTCAGGATTTTTTCCATTTAGGTGCACTGAATTATTTTCCGTCAACCTAACAAGTTGACAATACTTCCTGCCTAATTGTCATATCTATTAGGAGTGCCACCTATATCATGTGTCTGAACTTATTCATGAATGCTTGACACTAAACAGACCTAATATTTTCGTATTATTTATTTTAAGTCTCCATTCTTTTACTGCCAGTAATTCTCAGCTAATCGTATCAATGTGCGACAATAGCGTAATAGCGGTGTTGTCCTACGACAATTTGTGCAAGTATATTGCCACGCGCTTTTACGTTTCTTACTTTTTGTGTGATCGGCTCTCAACCACAAAAAGTGATCACCGTTTAGCGCAAACTGCCTGTCAGTGTTCCGTAAACTATGATATTACCTCATACTGCTGTGCTACAATTACGCGCACACGTTGCTGTGGATGCCACATGTTCATGGAGCCGAAATGATAGAGACCCATCTATACTTAGATTTGATTGCACGTTAGAGAACACCACGTGGTCAAAACTTCCCGAGCTCTTCATGTCTGCATCCCTCTATATCAAATTGTGGTGGTATGGCTGACGAATTGAAGAATTACTATTTATAGTACGCACAGTAGGCGCATATTCTTAATTCGTGAGTGAGCAGCAGTGGTAATGCTGCAAACTGCGATCATTGATGTATAAAAGTTGCCGATAACCAGATTTTCCAAGGCCAGTAAAACTCATTGCGGCACTCAGAGTGGAGCAGGCTGTGCTAGTGATTGGAGTTTCTTAGTTTTCTGTTCACGAGTTAGCCCAACAAATAGCTTCATCTCTACCAAAGTGAATGTTGCTTTAGTCACCACCGCCACTACAATACAATATATAACAACTTACTATAACAACTATAACAACTATACAACTATAACTATAACAACTATACTAATAAGAACTTATTGTCCCGTAATCAGCATGGTTTCCGCTCTGGTTTTTCTACAACTACACAGCTCATTGATATCACTCACGACATCGCTTCGGCTCTTAATACTCGAGGACAGGTTGATGCCATATTCAAGGATTATAGCAAAGCATTTGATGTAGTTTGTCACAAAAAACTTCTTACTAGACTCGGAAGTATTATCAACGATGACAAAAGAATAGGCTGGATAGCTGATTGGCTACGTTTGAGGTCACAATTTGTTACGTTTGAGCATGCGCAGTCATCGTCGTGTGCAGTCACTTCCGGGGTACCACAGGTCTCGGTGCTTGGGCCCCTATTGTTCATTAATTATATTAATAATGTCACACAGGTCATTGAGGACACACCAGTGAAGCTGCGATTGTACGCTGACGACTGCGTTTTATATACTAGCGTAAATAATGCTCATGACCAAGATGTTCTGAACAAAGTATTTTCGCCCTTTTGTGGTTGGAGCGCCACGTGGCAAATGAACAATAATTACCAAAAAACTGTTCAAATGACATTTACTAACAAAAAACAGCCGCTAAGGTTTAGTTATAGTTACAATAGGAACTACCTAAACTCTGTTAATACATTCAATAATCTTGGTGGTACCTACACTCAAAACCTAAAGTGGCACCATCACATTGAAACAATTTGCGCTAGAGCACTTCGAGAACTGGGATACATAAAACGAACACTCAAGCACTCTACCAAGGACTGCAAATTAACGGCGTATACATCGCTCGTCCGACCATTGCTAGAGTACGCCTCAGCGGTATGGTCACCCTATACTGCACTTGACATAAATATGGTCGAGGGCATACAGAAAAAAGCAATACGATTTATATTTGGCCGGTATGACCGCAATTTTTCTCCCTCATCTCAAGCATGCTCATTGTCGTTAGAACCCCTTGCTTTCCGACGCACACTTGACCGTATCACTCTGCTACCTAAGATTATACACAGCCGCAGTTGCATTGAAGCACCAATTACTTTTTGTGATTCAGCACGACGAACCACGCGCCGATCTCACCCACTCAAC